GATTTTGAATCCCACTCAGAAGTCGCAGAATACTATGCCGGTCAAGCAACAAGTGTTTGTGGTGAATTCTGCATTAAAAACGCTGTCTGGAAAGAATATATTTAGAGCAAAAACGTTTTTTTATGACGATAGTGGACAGAGGTATGAAAAATGTCATCATTATATAATGGTATTTTGAGTGCTTAGAGTGCCATCTTGGCCATATGCATATAAAAACACTGTATAGATCTAGCTTGAGATTTAACAGCAGAGCTATGCGGGCCTGTTCACATATAAACACAATATATACAGTGTAAGGTATATATCGATAGATATTTAGTTATGTGCGGAATGCTTCTTACATTAAATAAAGTAAGAAAAAGCAAGAGCGTATATGGAATAAATTAATTGGGTTGGCGAAGTGTCAAGATGGAAGACACATTAGCTTTGTTACTATTAATCAGTGCAGCGTTGCGTTGATGAAATTGATCGTGTGAGGTAGGTAATTACTTATTCGAGGCCACAACGTTGCAGTAATACCATCGAATAATTGTACCAGAGAATTGAATAGTCCACACGGAAGTTGGTCCATGTGCATCGCAATCATAAATTTTGCAGCGCTCGCGCTAATTTGTTGTCGGCATTGTGCAAAATTTAAGAAGTGAAAAGTGTCAAAATCGTTTTGGGTGCAAGCACCGGGCTTTGCAGTACATGTCAACAATCGCGTGCTCGGCAATTATGCAGGCTGAATACCCTACGAGCTGATGTCCATGATAAGGCTGAGAAAAAAATAATTGCTACCTGAAGCTCGCTCCATCGTGCCATATATCAATATCGTTAGCGGGAAAATCAGCTTGAATTGCATAATTATATTTTTCTACGTCGTCAAAAGAAAACATTTGATGATAGCGTCTACCTGCCGACAGAGCACAAAAGCATCATTTGTTTAGAGTGTCAGAACCAATGAAAAAACATAGTACAAGGGATCGATTCGAGGATGGATTATCAATTTAAGTGGACAAGTTTATACCCACGTTCGACGAGTTTATAGAATAAATTAATCGGATTAACTATATAATAACGATAAGGACGACAAAGACAATGTACAAATGACTGAATTTGATGCTACACATGATCGAAGTTATGTAGGAATCCATATTGTCAAAAAAAAGAATTTCAGATCATGTAAGTGAAAACGAAGATCTTCGAAATATAATCACACACAAAAATTGACGTCGAATAGCACTACACAATTAGCGTTAAGAGAAGGAATGTATGGACCGGGAAGTAAAAAGTAAAACCTGAAGCAAGATTTATGATACGGTCTCGAATTAAAATAGCCTTGATGTACACACATTGATGATTTTTGTGTACAAATTTAGGTACTGAAAGGGAGAATTTGAGGAAATAACATCACGCTCTGAACATACTTATGATATCAATTATTCATTTATACGTATTACATGGATAGGGAGGGTTAAGCTTCTGATCTTTCTCTTAAACAATCATTTAGTGCACATATTATCTTAATTGACGATATTATACATAATATAATCTTGCGAGTTAATATTGAAGGAATATACTTTTGGAACGAAGAGTATGCATTGGTTTGCAATTGTTTGTTACATGTCATGATATCATCCGAATTATCGACCAGTCGCTGCTGGACGCGTGAAATGGGTGTTGAGTGAGATACTACAATAAAAGTGTGTGGATTGATTTAATTCAAGTACGACAAAAGGAGGGTTTAAGCTGAGACTTAACTTTATTCTATATAGTTATGCCTTTTCCTGACTCTATTTGGCTTCTTAATTAGGTGTATCTCCCTCTTCACGTACTGTGTACGTGACATTTGAAAGCAAACACTTCTGTACGGTATCGTACAAGGTATTACCAGCTGTCTGGTAAGAACTGTGTGTTGGTATACGGTGGATGATCTAATGGGATGTTTCCAGCTCTCTAGCCGCCTCGGTACCACTGTTGCCGGTTCGAGTACAGCAGGAGACGGAAGGTACAGGTTACAGTGTGAAAAGACGGAAGTACCAGTATGGCATAGGAGAAAGAGTATTTGTAATGGATGGTTGCTCGTAGGTATGCTTTTACGATTGGTAATATACTTACTCTGCTAAAAGACTTCTTTTAAACGCTATCCCGATCTAATAATCTGACCATGTCACTATGCAAGAAAGCTAATGACAAAGCATCTAACACTAATGATGAAAAGCATTATGACTTGGCTGACCCAAAAAATAATTGCAAAGCCATTTTATGTGACGTAGACGATGAACAGAAAATTATCGATTGCTATTAAACGATTAAAATATATATCGGTCACCGACGACTGCACGACACCGATGTACATGAAAGCGCATGCGAGAGCGCAAACGCTTGATAGCGACATTAAATTGGAAGCCGGACAAGCCTCATCAAAGTACAGTTGGACTCGGTGATCCCCACGAATATATACCGTCAACACCATCATCCTGACGACAAAGTCGTATAAGCACTAAAGAGAATGTAATGCAGACAGACCTGTTTCATAAAAAATCCTTGGATAGATGCGACAAGATCACGTTATACATAAATAATATAACCTGAAACAAGGTAGTGCTGAAAGTGCTGGACCTGATTATCGTCAACTATGATCATTGACCACATCACTAGAAAAACGATGTTAATTCCCGATCATGATCTGATTATTGAGGTATCGTGATCCGATTCCGAGAGCGCATCGTTGCACGTAAAGACAAACAGTTTAGCAAAATCGATTTCTGGGGCATCTACTTTCCAATGGCGAGATAGCCTCACTCGGCCGTTTTTGTTATATATGCGTAAATTTATCAATATTTATACCAAGTAGACGCGAATATTGCTTGCTTAAACGCTGTCTTATCGATTAAAAGTACTTGAATAGACCTAATGGGTATATTGGTGAGAAGAAAGAGTATGATTACATGTCAATCACAGCTTTAAATGACCTTAAGTATTCGGGACGAAAATAAATTTATAAACTTGACAATGGACAATATTACAACGATGAGCGAAACCATGTAGAACCCTGTCCGTATTCGTACAACCAAAATGGAGATGTTGCACTTGTATCGATCTACGTCGATGACATTCTTTAAAAGGTGCCAAAGGGATAGCTTCAAGAAAGAGTTATATGCTAAGCTCGAACCAAGCTACGGCTTTTAGAATTTATTATGTTAGACAAGCACTCGGTTGTGAAAGTGAAGCGAAACAATATTCTCGATAAAGATTCTTAAACTACAAGCTGCACCGCAATATGAAACAATTTTAGTGTCGAGAACCTTTGAAGAGCATAGCTCCAACAGGGAACTCAAGCTCGTTTTTTTCAACAAGGTTGATGATGCAAACGTTCATAAGAAGAAGAACATTCTGTTCGGAAATGATTTTCTTCATCGGGTATGTATTATATCATTGATGTTATGAGAATGCTTGTGTCGGACCGGACATATCCTACGTCGTTGGACAGCGAAGCCGATACGTACAGTCACCTGATTTTATGGCTGTTCCTGACGCTCACTTATAAAGTACAGGCGACCCAAACTGATGACGGGGTAAGCTAGTGTATTCAAGATCACTCGTTCACTAAAAGCAGAACTCATTAATTTAGTACTTGCCAGTTCGATCGGAAGTACCAGGCGTTTGGACGTAAATGAGCAGTCTTCTGGCCAGTAACATTGAAGACAGCTCTGTCTTGTTCTAGCGACGATGTTCATATGGCCTGCTTCAACTTGCCTCTGTCGTATTCATTACATCAGCCTAATATGGTGTACCCCATCTATGACCTGTAGCAATTTTGATCTCTGTCATACAGCTACTCCTCACCCCATTGTTTTTGAAACACAAATCTAAGACCATAGATGGCTAAAGTATGCTAATGCACTAGCTTCGTTTCTATAGTCTCGGAATTTGATTTGACAAATTTTCCGCGAAGTTATAGGACCCTAAAGCTCGGAGAATTTTATAAATTTTGGCTCGAGGCGAGCCACATTTGGCCGCCCCAATTTTCCCACGCAGACTATTTTTCTGAATTTCTCGAATTATTCTGTGTAACCCCTTTTTTTAGGTAGACAGATTAGCGTTAAAGAACCATTTTTGCAGTCTTAAAAGTACAAAATGGTTGTCGTCACTCTAAACGGCATTGCTTTGCCTGTTCATGTCGCGTCTATATACTTAAAAACGACGCATTCGAGTATCTAAATCCATCAGAACCTATGAGATTTTGCTAAAACTATTGCAAAGTACAATAAATGGCAGAATTTAAAACGTTCACGTCCGTTAATATTACATTGGAACCTTACAATGCGATCGATTCTTCTTAACGGCGTATTCGGCGACCTTCCTCGTCAGGATCTTGCGATATACGTCCAAGTACCCGAAGACAAATGTAAGGTATTCTGGGACCATGTGCTTGAGGCATTTTTTGAGCATGGCTTTGGTTCTTTCCAGAACAATTCGATGAAGGTCAGTTTGCAATTTACCGAAGGTAAAAGGTGTGATAGCCGGCCGCAGTGGTAGTCACTTCCAAAAGCTCATTGGGGCTCTTGAATCACATTGATTTTGGGTACACTGCGGGTGTACAATCCTCATAACGTGCAAGTGCCGATGCCGTTGTTGGGGCGCGGCATGTTAATGATTGTTGACTATTAGGACGTTGGTTCTTGTTTGAATTGTATGATAGACGAGCTTTTGTGTGCAGTGCGACGAAAGAGTTAGAAATGGCAATTTCGGTGGCGAAACGGTGATAAAAATATATTCATCATTTTCAAAGTTGGCCGCCGAAAAAAAGGGTTACAGGTTAAAGGTGTTGCGTACCGTATGCATACAAATACGTATCAACAACACTGACACGGACAATAACAACAACAACAATCCCATTCGTCGTAACCGTCCGTTAAGTCGTTCAATTCCCTATCACGCACACCTATCACTTATAAAAGGGAACACCAACCGGCCATGTTCATCGATGGCCAGTCAAAACCCATTTGGTCGTCATGCGGTTCTCAGACTTCCAGCCGCCGCTCTGTGCCGAGATCCTCGCAGAGACCGATGCTCGTGGCTTCGAGTACATGACCCCCGTACAGGCAGCTACACTGCCTCTCCTCCTATCCAACAAGGACGTGTGCGTCGATGCGTGCACGGGTAGCGGCAAGACGCTGGCCTTTGTCCTGCCCATCGTGCAGCTGCTCAAGTCCAAGCTGGCAGACGGCAGCATCACGACGCCCCGTCGGACCGACCTCACCAAACTCGTGGCGATGATCATCTCTCCCACGCGTGAGCTCGCGCGCCAGATATTCGAGTGCGCCGAGACGTTCGTGGCCCGTGCGCTGCCTCATGTGCAGCTGCTGCTGTTTGTAGGCGGAACGAGTGTCGACGAAGACTTGTCATTGATTCGAGGAGCTACGGGGAAATGCTCAGTGGTTGTGGGAACACCGGGCCGAACGGAAGACTTGCTGAACCGCTGCGTGGGCTCTAGTGTCGAGACCCGCGAGTTTGAGATGCTCATTCTGGACGAAGCTGACACTATCCTGGACATGGGCTTCGAAGTGAGTCTCAACAAGATTCTCGCACACTTGCCGAAACAACGACGGACCGGATTGTTTTCGGCCACGCAGACCCAGGAGGTGAAGGCGCTCGCACGTGCAGGGCTGCGAAATCCAGCGACGATTTCGGTACAAGTGGCGAACAACACACAAGTGACTCCAGCCACGTTGCAGAATTACTTTTGTTTAGTTGGCCAAGACCAACGGTTGTCGGCGCTGCACCACTTTGTACTGACGAAGAAAGACGAGAAGCTCATTGTGTTTTTCTCGACGTGTGGATCTGTGGACTTCTTTGGACGCGTGCTGGAAAAGCTGCTCAGCGAAAAGGCGAAATTTCCAGTTGTGTCGCTGCATGGTAAGATGCCGCAGAAGAAGCGGACGACTAATTATGACCATTTCTCCACGTTGAAGTCTGGACTACTCGTGTGCACGGATGTCGTTGCGCGTGGCATCGATTTACCTGATGTGGACTGGATCGTGCAGTATGACCCGCCACAAGACCCGAACTTTTTCGTGCACCGTGTGGGGCGAACGGCCCGTGCAGGACGCTCTGGTTGTGCGCTTTCATTCTTGTCGTCGAACGAGGACGCGTATGTGAATTTTCTGAAGATTCGCAAAGTGCCGTGCGAAGAGATGATGCTTCCGCTCGACACGATGGAGGATGTCCTGCCAAAGGTAAAGTCGCTGATTTTAGAAGATCGTGATTTGCTTGAAAAAGGCACAAAGGCTTTCATATCTTTTGTACGCTCGTACAAGGAACACCAGTGCCAGTTTATCTTTCGGTTCAAGGAGCTTGATCTGGGTGCGGCAGCTCGTGGATTCTGTTTGCTGCAATTGCCCAAGATCAATGAGCTACGCAATGTGCGCATCAACTTTGAGAAGACTGATGTGAAGATCACGGACATCAAGTTCAAGGACAAGACTCGTGAAAAAGAGCGTCAGAAGAAGCTGGTAGTGATTGCGAAGGAGAATGAAGCTCGCGACAGAAAGGATGCTGAAATGCGCGAGAAGAAGCGCAAACGGGCGCTGGAGGACGAAGACCGAAAGCACCCACGTCGGCGCGAAAAGAAGAAGGGTTTGCACCAGCAGATCATTGAGGAATGGGAAGAGTTGGCTGAGGAAGAAAAACTGTACAGGAAGATGAAGAAGGGCAAGATCACGGAGAAGGAGTACGAGAAGTCGCTGCTGGGCAAGGTGGACGATTCTGACGATGAAGACGACGACGACGATGCCGGTGAAGGCAGCAAAAAGAAAAAGCCGAAGTGGCAACGTGCAGAAGAGAAGCTAAAGGAGCAGTTTAGAAAGAAGGAACCGGTCGTGAAGAAGACTGCAGAGCAGAAACGTGAGGCTGCCAAGCGCGAGGAACGCATTCGTAAGCGTAAAAAGTCTCAGCACGTCCAACGCGCTTTGCAAAGAGCCCAGCGCCGTGCCCGGCGCTAGATCCACATGCATGTGGGTTTTAACGGAGGATAATATTATTTACTCTTTGGCAAACTCCCTGTGATATGAAGTCTGGCAAGCCTCATTCGTCGCTGTCCGGGTTCGATGGCATGTTACGTATTGTTCGCTAAGTGCATCGCGGAAGCGTACACGTACATGCGAGCGCCCTAGTACATCAGCTTGTGCCTATTCGATGGACCCAAAAAGCGTCGAAGTTCTACACGTTGTGAACAAAGTGCTCAAATTGCGGATAAGCGAGTTAGAGTTGCTGTTCAGTGTTGACAATGGTGTACGACGTACCATTGGCGGTGATTCCATCAACGGAAGCGTCTCTGCATTCCAAAAGAAATATGTACAATGCAGAACACACAAAAACTGCTGGCAATGCCAGCGCGGTGGCGATTCCAAGCACCTGTCCCTGCAAGGCGTTCCATTTGTCGCGACGTGATGCCCATTTTTATCTCAGTACAGCATTGTGACGATGTCAACACAGGTGAAGAAAGGGCCATATTGTAGCGATTGCAACTCACCATTTGATATTGACAACACTTACAATCATTGACATGAGCGGCAAGCAACCACTCACGACATGCACGAGCCCGTCAAGCATTGATTCAACCATCCTTTTGATAGCCATGGATGTCAAACCTCTGTACCGCATCGCTGAAAGGCTCATCTTGCCGATCAAGACTTTTTTGTGACTGTCTCGGTCCTATCCTTCACAGCAGCAAGTCGACTTTTCTAGTGCTGGCTCGTCGTGCGGAACCGCCTTTTGTGACAGCCCAGGATCGCCTCCAACACTGAACAGCAAAGGTGCGGTTAAGAAGTATGAAGCAAACTCATGAACACCCAACATGTGACGCGCGAGAACGCGCTGGCGCACAATCTGCCGGGGTGACGATTGCTAGATCAAGTATGTTGTTGTCGGCTTCACTAAGCTAGTCTTGTAGATGATGCAAATGTGCTAACCAAGTTAGCTCACGCTGTTATATGCTTTGTGGTACATCTCCTGACCGAAGTCGACTGAGCGATTGGCAAACGCCAACAGTACATATGTATCACACTCACCCTGAACTCCACAACGAGAGCAATTCTAATTAGTGAACTCAAAGGGTTCGCACTTTGCGGCATTGTCAGTAACTTTGTACGATTCAGTCATCACCCCCTTGCAAGAAAGTCGAGTGATGCAGTTTCCCGCGCAAATAATTTTTCTGGCCGTAATTTGTGTTGTAAAACTTGTTCCGACAACGCACCACGAATCAAAATGGTAGGTTCCCAAGAGCACCTCGTTTGCTCGATGATCCACTCCGCCCCGAGTCTCGCAAGTCTTTGAATGGCTTCATCGGTAGTCTCGCCATTTACAGATAGCCAAATGCCGTTCCTACGCCTGACAAAGCCATGTGAAACACTCGGGCATACTCAAAGATCAAACTAACAATCATGCTGTAGTTTTGCTGAACGTTTTACGTGGATACGAAAAGCGTTGGGTAGCCTCTTCCCGCAGTCCTCTTGTTTGCCAGAGCTCAGGTCAATGATGATGTATACGGATAAAGTGTCGACTAAGCATTAAAGTCATAAAGGTCAAGATGACAAGACATACATCACGCAAATCGTTGTCTGTTTCTACCACATTCGTTCAATCATATTCATCCATAGGGCCCTTTGCTCAGCAAGACCCTGTCTGCACAAACCCGTCTTTCTAAGCAGCACGAAGGGACCCCCTACCGTACCTCGGGTGGCAAGACTACCCTTTGCTTTTAGCCTGCATTATACTTGAGTGAGCGGCCACGTTCTTGTCAAGCTGTACGAACATTGGTATGTGTCGACGCATGTATGAACTATGAGGCAAAAAACGATTGAAAATAAGTCGTGTCTTGGCTACCATCTGGATGTACCGAGAGCCACTCACGCGAGTCACAACCGTACGAGACGTTCAATAGTGCAGTACAAGCTGGGGCTGGTACGGTAGTCCATAATGCAGTGTGACGCCTCCCATCGTGTCATAACGTCTAAAGAGAGAATTGCAAACATAATATGGGGCCCAACAATGCAGGTCGTCGTGAAGTGCTTATCAATAGTGTATTGAAAAGTACCATTCTTACCACTGTTGCGTTGAAGTGGAAATTCGAGGATGACAAAAGTGATGTCCTCGTTTGCTAAGTTCTTTATCTTTTAGTTTACTTGTAGCTGTGTATTAATTGGTAGTACATTCTGGATTTGCTCAATTATTCGATATTAGAATGCTATTTTACAAAGATCAATTATGAAAGTCGCGCGTGATTGGCAAGTGAAATTTTTAGCAAATGTATCGTTGTGTAGCACTTTTTCTTAGTAGCCTAATCATTTCTTGATCAGACTGCACATGCACTTGCAACTGAGTCGCAACGCGGGATCTGGCGGATCAGCTGTCGGTAGCTGAAGCAAGTATGTGGGATGATCCAGACGGTTTTTAAAGGCGGACGAGGCACCTCGAGTAATATAAGGCACGCTGAGAACAATTCATCCTGGTGCACATTGGGCCGAAAAACGATACTGCAATCACAAACCTTTCGAGTTTGCGCATGATGCTATCCACTTGCGTGCTGTGCATGCATTGGCATTGTCGTAAAACCCACTTTCTTGCAATGAATCGATAGTGGCGGCATATCTTCACTCACTACAGAACGCTATTCTATTTTTAAAACGCTAGACAAATCCGAAAAAGTTCACCCAGGACAGTATATCAAAATTACGCACTGGAACGATTGCAACTTTTAGCTGTCAAGAAACGGATGTTGGCTTTGCAGGGGATAGTACACGCCCTCTGAAACTATTGTGCATATCGGTAGTAGCTCTTTGCACGCGAGCGGTAGAAGAGTCAAACGTATTGTTGAGCGAAAGAAGTTGCATGTAAATGGGATTGCACACATCTGGTTTATCTACCAATGGACTTATTCATCGCAAGCGTCTTTGTCAATGGCGAAGCTAGTACGCTGCATTGTCGACGTGTTAAGACTAGGAGGAAATAGTAAGAAAGGTTTTTTATGCACCAGAAGTTGAAAGCTTGTTGTTCGCTACTGTGAAATGCATTACGTTAAGTAGCTCACTAACAACAAGCGCTCATGTCTTCAGTCCTCAAGCTACATTGCAGTCATACAATGCTTTGATCCGTCTGCTACTGTAAGCTAGTCGACCCGAGTTGATAGTACGCAAACCTTCACCGCGCTACATTGTCCAATCTTACCAGGCAATGCAGGAAGAGGAGTGCGTGCTATAACCATCATCTCATGTCAAGTTTGAAAACCACGGCTACCTTACGATGCAAAAACTGACGCGCGATGATTGTTGCCATTAGACACAACGCTTCACTTGTTGGCATTCCATAGCAGCAAAAACAGTGTCTGCAATTTCAGTGGGGAATACTGCAGACATTAATGGGCCACGAATAATGGGCGTCGAACAGAAGCAGGACAGGCTATCGACTACCATGTGGCACGAGGTATCACCCCTTGTCGGGTACATTTTGTATAGGATGCAATCTCGAATGTCGATAGCTGTTTTTGCGTGGTGAAATGTGTGCGCTACAGCGTAGCGCGTACACTTTGGGCTTGTACATGGTAGATGGACAAAAGACCTTCGGATGACATCGCGTTAGCCGACGTAATCACTAGCAACAAGGTGCCACGCTGATATGGCCGCATAAAGGAAGAAAGCAAACAAGCGCGAGGCATTGACTACACGGAGATGACGGCATGTCAGGGCGTAGTCAAGCAGACCTGCAACAAATGCAGCAACAGAACACTGACTTCCGACCGATAATGCCATGAGCGGCAGGATAAGGCTGAAGCAACATGTGCACAAACACAGCGATATACGGCCGCAAAATAAGCCACGTCTGGAGCTGTTCAAACAGATGTCGCGCTTCGTATTCAATTCCATAATACAAATCAAGAGCTTCACGCGACCACTCACTGGTACAAAGGCTGTCGACACGGAGTTATCCATAGCATCTTGCCTGCACTCGCGTCACACTACCAGTCGCTCTTGTGGTACAGCTTGCCCTTGATACTGAGCTTGGACGTGTTTCGCGACCGCCGCTTACCACCCTCTTTTTGGCGTGTCTGCCGCTCCCGTTGCACCCGCTGCTTGATCACTTCATTCTCCACAACATACGAATCCTGTGTCTCGTCAATGTCCTCGTCGACCGGTTCATTCGACCCATGATCAACCTGGCTATCGAGCGTCGCGTCTTTCACGCCCTGCACAAGATGAACCAGTTTCTCCTCCTCGTCACTTTCTTCTCCACTTTCCTCCTCATCCTGTTCCACGCTTTCGTCATCCGCGCTATCGTCATCGCTATCGCTGTCCTCAACATTCTGATGAGCCGAAAAGATCGAGAGCTGCAATCGACAATACATCGTCAATCGCCAGTCCTCAAAACATTTACCGAGATATCGCCAACGTACATCGTGCACTTTCTCGCCAAACTCCTTGCCAAAGCCACTTGCTTCCACGTCCTCGTCAAGTCGAACACTCTCGTCTGCGACGATGTCGTCCAGCTTCGGAACACGCTGTGACGAGAAAAACAAATCAGATCCGCAACTACTCCTTCTTCCAGTCACTTTCAGCGCTCACGATTCTGCAAAATAAAACTCACGTCTGGTGTGTACGCGCCACCCTGCAGCCGCGAGAAGAACTTCACGAGTCCGTGCACGTCGCGATCGAACAGCCTGAAAGCACATGACAGTGAGCACGCGCGAGCTACACAGCAAGAAAGTCAGCTGCACTCACTCGGCAGCGTTCGGGTGCGACGTGGAAATCATCTGTGGGAAATCAATCATTGTGATTTTGCCCTCGCCTCCAATCATGATGTTGAACTCATTGAAGTCGCAATGGACCAGCCCGTATTCCGCTAGACGAACGACGATGGACATGGCCGCGTCATACACGTCCTTCGAGTTGGCCAGGCGGCGTACTTGATTAAGCGGGTAGCCATCCACGAGACTCATGCAGATCGCATGGCGATTGCAGTCAATGGGCGTCGGCGTCGGAAAGTCACGGTCATATAGCGCCTACAACATCGCCAGAAGCAAGCAAGCAAACAAGGAAGCAAGTTAGCGACAGCATCATTCTCGACCACAACCAACCGGCGATTGCCCGTTTGCTGCTCCATTGTACCTTCAGAAAAGCGTATTCTTTCATGGCCGAGAGTCGCGACATGTAGAACCAGCTCACGGACTTGCGGTTCTTCAAGTAGTCGCGTTTGCTTTTCACCGCTCGGAACGACGTGCGTCCGAGTCGGTGGAACTTGATCGCGACTTCCGTGCCGTCCTCTTGCGTCGCCAAGTAAATGTCCGACTCTTTGCCAACGCCAATCTGACGGCCCAGTCCCGTAATGTGGCCGCGTTGCAGGAACACACGCAGTGCGAGAAAGTCATAGCCACTGTACGTGAGCCGGTAGCCGTCGTACGCGTCGCCGTCGTGCGCAATGAGTTTGTTGCGCAACAAGTGCGACAGAATCTTCTGCACGCCGCCGTGGCGCAACTTGGCGATGATCGTGATGAGCGCCACGGGCACGACCTGGTGGTTCTTCATGCCCATCTCAATCGCCGTCAACACGCGAAAGTGCTCCTTCGTCAGGTACCGCATCGCAGTCACGTCGAGCTTCATGACAGCTCCGCCCGAGCAAATTGTAATGGACTGACTCACCAATGAACTGCTCGACGCGAGAGCGTGTTATCATTGGCTATGAGCAGCGAGGCCCGAGTGTACCGCGACTGTGGTACACCCGGCCGACCCGACCCGACCCATGCCGTCCGACCTCGCGATTGTCATGCCGCCGGTCCGATTCGCGTGGAAGTCGTCGCGAAAGCGGCGGCGATGGCAGTGCGACGGGGGGCCGGAGGGGGCTGCGGCGGTGGTGGTCTGCAGCGGTGCGTTTCAGAGTGAAGAGGACGCGGAGCTGCAGGTGGAGAACATGGACAGCGCCGCACGTGCGAAGCGCCGACCGGTGGAACTGCTTGAAGACAGTCGGACCAAAGTCGAGCGGCTCAAAGACGAAGGCAATCGACTGGCGGACGCGGGACGCTTTCGGGCCGCCATGAGCAGGTGGCACGAAGCACTTGGCGTGGACGCGAGCAATGCTGTGCTGTACGAGCTGCTGGCCCAGGCGTCGATGGCGGTGTACGAGGACTTCCAGGCGGTAATGTACGCCCGCCGAGCGACCGACTTGGCACCGGCGTGGAGCGACGGCTTCCTCACGCTGGCGCGGTGCCACCTCAACTTTGGCGAGTTGACGCTCGCTCGCGACGCCCTGCAGCAAGTCAGTCGTGCCGTCCGTGTCTTTGTGCGCTCGCCGCGTCGTCGTGTCTCACGCTGGATTGGGCTGTTTGCGTAGGCAGTCGCGCTGAATGCTGGCGCATGGACGGACGAAATGGCAGCCGATCGTCAAGAGATCGAAAAGCAGCTCGCGCGACAGGACCGAGCGCTGCGCAAACGCGACGAAGAGGCGGCGCGAGAAGTGGAGCTGGATAAGCTACAGGTGATCTCGTGCTTCAAGCACTTGACCCTCCGAGCGAAAACAGGATGCAGCCTCGAGGGACGCACGTGAGCACGGTCACATGCATTTGTGCGAGCTTCCTGCAGCTCTGCTCGGAAACGGTGAGGTAAGAATCTATGTATATGTATACTGTGGCATCTAACTTACAAGATATAAACTGCCGCGCATTACCGTTCTCCCTGCTTCCATCGCCGCTTGAATCCCGCCAGACTTGAGCAAGCCCGTGCTCTTCCACATATACACGAGATGTATGCATTCGAGCGAGCACGCACGCGATCACCGCCGTCGATGAAGAAGCGAGATCGCGGATTTTGCCAAGCTTGACAGTCTTCCAGCACGTCTCCTGGATCGGGTTGTTAATAGTTCGTCATCAGTCGAGAAAACGGGCGGCTCCAATGATGCTCTCTCTCGTCCTTTACGAGCAGAGTTTGTTGCCTTCAATTGTGTACGACGAAGGATCGCCGTGGGCAGGATCGTACGATGACACGTACTCACCAGTCGCTTGGTCATCGAGAATCTGCATGAACGACCGCTTGCGAGACGCAGTGCATTCTGCGTCCAGTTGACCCACTGTCTGCGGCACGTAGCAGTCGTATGGCTCGTGCTCGGCGGCGTCTTGTTCCGCTTGTAGCTCGTGTCTCGAGTCAAACAGCGAGTCGATCTTTTGGCTCATGAGGAAACACAGCGTTGTCGCAGCAGCGGCAATGTACTCTTGATCGACTGGGTCGCAGCTGCCATGATCCAGCCGTCGGACTTTGTCTTGCGGGGTTTTGCGAGGGCTGTCAGCGGTACCGCCTTGCTCGGGTGTCGACGGAGCTGTGTCGCGGCCATCAAGTGACACTGGCGCGGCAGGTCCGCTCGAGTACCCCGTCGCCACAGTGGCCATATCGGCGGACTTGCCGCTTTGCTTCTTTTCAGCTTTGAGCTTGGCCACCTTCAACAGATACTTCTGGGCGTGTGTACGCACTTGAGTCACTGACCGTGTGCGGACCACGTGCTGCACGCGCTTCCACTTGTGTCCGTGGATGCGGAACCCCTCGAGAAAGCGTTCGTGTTCGTCCGCCGACCAGCGACCCCCGCGGGTGATCGTGCCGCCCCGCGTTCCAACGATCGCGTTTTCCGAGTCCTGGCTCGCGTCTTCTCCACAGGCATGCACTGCTCCTTCCCCGACCCGGCGCGAGTCGGGCGACGGCGAGTCTCGAACTGGAGACGACTGGACGCTGCGTCGTTGCAGCGGGTGATGCTGCTGCGTACGTGCAGAGACGTAGTGGTTCTCCTCATAGGGCGGCAGTGCTGCCGGCATCTCTTGCTTGATCGCCGCGGGCCGCTGCGGTGTCTCGAACCCGTGCAGCGATGGGAGACTGAAGGCAGGCGGCATTGGGTGATGGCCCGAGGCGCTAGAGCCGGTGCGGTTGAGAATGTTGGCGAGCCCAAACCTCGACGAGCTGCTCCACGGCTCAGCTTCCTGTTTCATGGACAATGCAGACGCAGCAGCAGAAGGGGCAGCAGACGAGGCACACACAGAGTCAAACACGGGCGTTTGTCGCGTGGCCGCCACGAAACTCGCAGTGTGTTGTTGGTGAGCACGCACCTTATCAAGTGACGCAACGCTGTGCCTTTGCCAGGGGCTGTAACTGCTGCCGTAGCTGCCCGCGCGCTTGACGCGGTCCATACTTTGTCGCTATCACACAGACCGTCCGCTAAAAATAGGTCGCGTCTCGACGTTGCGCGTGTCGCAACGGCAGCCACGTCGGGGAGAGAGAGAGAGAGCGAGTGAGCGGGCGGGCGGGCGGGCGAGACGAGCAGAGGAACGAAACGGCCGGGCGACTGACTTCTGCGGCAGCAATGGAGAGCGAGAGCGAGAGAGTCAAAGTGAGAGGGCTAATCTTCGAGTGACGGAACAGGTCCACGCCGCGCAAATGACGGCGGCGGTCGGCACCGAGGACTGGATCCGCTGTCCCACAACCGCAACCCCGCCCAAGGCCCAGCAGCTGGCGGCTGTTGCAACCACACGCGACGGAGCGACGGGGGGCGGATCCAGTGGCGCTCGTCCGGTCGGAACTGCTCGAGCGACTCACCTTTTTCGTCGGGAACGGATGAAACACTCGGCTGCTCGCGGGGCTCGGACGATCGATTGATCGATTGATCGATTGACCGATCAATTGGTGCGGCGTCGGCTGCTGCTGCTGCTGCTTGGTGCGGTTTTTGAGCTCTGCGGCCTGTGCGGCGACAAGATATCGACGGTGGCTCACTCGCGTTTTGCGCGAGCGTGCGGTCGTGCGCTGGCCTCCATAGTGGGCGCCAGTCGTCGGTAAAGTGAGTCAGTTCTCTTGCGACTAGGGCAGAAGCGCGCGGGCACAGAGCGCGGGCAGTGGCAACATCACTGGATCGCTTGTCGCAAAGTTGTAAGCCACAAGATCGCGAGCAGCCCAACAGCTGCTGCGCGGACGACCAAGCGGACCGCGAGATCAGCAGCACTTGCGTCGGGCAAAGGCGACAACGACAGCGACGCATTTGTTTTCGTCGTCTTTGTCTTTGGTTTGTATTCGGTTCATCCTCAATCGCGTGTACGTACCACACGCGGTCGGTCAACTTGATGACGTTTGGTGGCTCGACTCACGCACAGTATCGATCGGCTCACGAACGAGAGTGGAAGCGGGCGACATCGTCGACGCGCGGGAATTTCCAGCGATTTGCTCGTTTTTTATTTGGTTCGGGAGAAGGGATAGAGAAAAAGCTCCTCTTTGTCCGATCTGTCGCAGGTGGTGGGGGTGGGCGGCGGCAGCGAGAGTGCATTTTCGATCGAGCCGCCTGCTGCTGCCGCTGGCCCAGTCGCCCAGTCCCCTACGCACTCCCTCGCGCCCAGTGCACGCCGCGAGCTGCTGTGACGCAAAGCCACGCCACGTGCATGGCAAAGCGCCCAGCTGCCGTGCGGGGTCCGCCGAAAAGGCGCGATGCAAGCAAAAGTATCTTGCCCGGAGTTCAGTTCACGAGACCAGTTTGCGCCGGTCGGCACAGATTTGCTGCCAGCCGCTTCTGCAGCATGGGACACACTTGGGCCCTCTGCGCTGTGTAGGGCACTAAAGCCGCCGCCGCCGCGTCGGGTCGGCGATCGTCGTCTTTTCTGATCCACGGGTCGCAAACGCCTTTGCGTATCGCCACGTCTCCAGGCGGCGTCGTAGGGTACCACCATCACCATCATCCCAGTCCCACAGTCACAGTCATCATCACCATCGTCACCACTCGTAGCAGCGGCTTTGGACATGCGAACAATGCCCTGCCCAGGCGGTCGGCCCGGGCGACTGTAATTGTCGTCGCCCCATCGTCTCGCGATGATACGGTTTTTTGCTACGCTACTCACGCGGTCCGCATGGCATACACCGATTGCTGGGTTACAACAAGACGTGCGCCAGTCCACCCTGGCCAGGAAAAAGTCACAGTAATGCTGAAGTAGGGCTATTTCTGTTTGCTGTATAGTGGTCATCGTCGTCGAGCGCCATTGATGGCATGCGGTGCATCTGTCAGGTCCTCTCCATGGTAAGCAAGTCGGGATCTGTCGCGTGGAGCGCAGCACAAACGTCTGTCGGTGCGAGAACGCTCTCGCAGAGAGCTGTTGGTGCGTTACTTCCCATCGCCGGTCATGACGGCACTAGATAGTCCAGTGGCGGGAGCGTCACCTCAGGTTAGGAGACAAAGCATCCCGCTGAGAGAAAAGCTCTGCGATCGAGATGTGGTAGTGGTGGTGGTAGTTGCTGACCGGTCGTCTGCTTTGAAGTTGAGATTCGCGTCGACCGTACGATCACACGACAGACTGACGTCCGCTCTGCTTGCTATGAAGATTGGTGTGCAACTGGAGCGGGGGAATTCGGATACGACGTAGCCGCTACCGCTCTCGGCTTTTGGATCTGCTGACGTGCGCAGACACGCCAGGATCACCAGGAGATGCAATCGGTCGATGCAATGTCCTAAACTTGAAGGCCAGCTGGACTGCATCGGCAACACAGCGCGGGCTGCGTTGTCTAGGCCGTCTGGTCTTCGTCGCTTTCCCACGGTCTACAAACACTTCTTCTGCGTGGATGCGACTGTTGCAGCAGCCAGGCGTGTTCGAGCCGGCGAGTGCACTAGAGGCCACGGAAGCCACTTCTATTGTACAGGTGACAGCCGTGCAACGAAAAGCGGTGCTCGGCGTTGCACGGCTCAAGTGGTGCGGTGAGTTGTCGACGGCTAGCAACTTGTTGTGCAGCAACGCGCCTGCTGGAGCACTATGTGGATGTGAGTTTCATTGCCTTGCGGGTGGCTGGACGGAGGCTCGCGGTGATGTCTTGTTCCGTAGGGCGCATCTAAGCCAACCGCTGGTACCAGCAGACGTCCATATATCTTACTGCACGGCGTCGGCGTCATTTCGTGTGTACAACAGGAAATTCGTGTGTGCTACTTGCTCTCCTCTTGTTCGTTTGCTTGTTTCGGAAGGCTCCTGGACGCAGTAGCGAGCTTTGTAGCAGCTTCAGTGCGGCTGATACCTAATCCGACACTACCAGGATCGAGCAGTTCCGGCAACTCAGAAAGCGAGACAACAGCGAGTCCGTCAAAAGCATAGACTGCAAGGCAAAGCACGGTGGTACGTATGCTGAGCTGTGAATGCCAGCTACGCCTACAGTTTCGCGGCCGTTTCCATTTCGCTGGGCAGGTTCTCCGCTCGCGCTCGCAGCAATGTTGTTGTTGGGTCTGCAGTATTCGTCGTTGTTGCCATTCATACCGACGCATTTCCGCTGTATAGGTGCCACGAAAGGAGCCGACATGCAGCCATACAAGTGCAAGCGGCAAAAGCTTTACACGAAGTTGGCATCCACACGCAGAAGACGAGCGCGATGGGGCAGGATAGTGGACGCCAGCGCTGTTAAAAAGGCTATCGAAGACTACTTTAGTAGTGTTCCTACAGCGCTGACGTTCACTTAGGTAATACCATTAGTGAAAAACTCGGCGGTGCGTTCGACATATGAGATCGTAGCGCGGCACCGACACCATCAGAGCAAAAAGCAGATAAAGCAAAACCGATTCGCCGTACGGCATGTCTGCCTTTCTCGAAGTCATTGTGATAGGAGCGAAGCATCTATCGATATGGGGTCAAAGATGGATCGTTGACCGCGGCCACAACGTAATGGTGTGCGTACGTGTCGGGCGTTGAGGCTAAACACTACTCACAGTCACAAGCTTGCGAACGTCGGATCTTCATGCCGGAAGCTATACAATGATCTAAATTCTGTGGTGTCGTGTGTACCTCTTTATAAACGACTAGCCGCTACTTGCAAGCTGAGTTCATGCCGACTTTATACTAACTTGCCAGTACTCTGCGTCTACATCATCAACATACAAGTCACGTGGGCCGAAGCTGCTTCGGCCAATATGTACTGTGAAGGAATTGCCACGGTATGGCGACTCCGATTTTTGCTATAAAATTAGGTACTTAGGTGAAGTGCTATATCGTGCTCGCACGTTCTACGTGTCTCTTTTTGGGTGCCAAGGTTGGATAGAAACACAACCCGCATGGTCTACTGCACCAACACGTAGCCGGGATGCGGTATCGTACCGGTCGATAGAAAGATCCAAGCTGATCGAACCATAAGGAATTCATCACTCACTATCACTCTTTACGCGGCATTTCTCTGCCATTCAAACTTTCTTCGCAGATAGTTGTAATGTTGACTCTAAGAATTGCAAGACAAAGTCTACCGGCAAATGCTCAGATCAAAGCAGACATAATGGAGGTACGTGGGTCCACAGAGGTAGCAATGACATGCTATCAACAAGCATCTGCTGTACACTTGCACGGCCAAAAGGACGTCACCGGTGTCGTCATTCGCACTTTGATTACTAACTCAAACGACCTATGTCGATCGAAGCAGCCAAACGCGACGAACGCATTCGATGAGAAAGACCGTAAAATCGTGCGGTGATGTACGACATGATTCGTGTTGCATACCTTGGTGCGCGAAACAGCATTGATGATCTGGTAATCGTGTGTGTGCGCGTGATTAGATCAAGGGGTGGCCTTATTTGGCAAATAATGTGCGCGTATCCATTGCAAGCACAATTTTGATGCGTGCTTTTTACCTGAACGATTCCCAAAGATACCGGCAACTTCAAAACGATTGAAGCCTACGGATACTTCGCACCAGTGTTTCGTAGAAATGTGAATTGCGCTTCGAGAGCGGCGGTGACGCCCTTTGACGCGGTTATAACGATTACAAGCACAAAGTTGTCGGCAGGTGCTCTGTGCTGTTGTCATCAGTCGGAATCGAACGAGAAAGCGACTAGTGCTGTCGTGCAACTAAACCGTAGATTACGACAACACAGCCGCAAAACTTCATATAAATCTGCAAGATCATGCGTGACACACTGTCTTCCCCTGCAAAATATTGAGCGCCCGTCCACAAGAGTTTGACATGCGATTGCACGCGATTGCAAGTACAAATTGTGAAAAGCAAGGGACGCGACGGTAACCTGTTCAGTATCATTGTCGGATGCACATGTCGTACAAATAAAAGCGACGAGAGGTGTCTGCGTTACAGAGCTGGGTTGCCAATCTGGGCATTGTGACCTATCTTTTCGACATATTACGTATTCCAAATATGTGAACGGCTACGTGTATGTATAGCTAACGTCGGTCCCCTG